TAGTAGTATTCCCTTAGGGTTTCGTATGTAATTATACTATACTAACCCCCAGAAGCCTATTCTAATTCTGAAGGCCCATATAGCAGGGCACATGCCCAAGGGACAGCGTAGGGACACTAGGAAGCAAGACAGCAGGCGAAGGCGGTTTCAATAAGCCGGCAAGGGAGATCGGTGGGCACGCAACACGTGCTGTTTTCTAGTCGCAGATCCGGCCTATCAAACAATGCAACATTCTTTCCTTTTTGTTTTTCGTCCTTATGGCCGCGACTCTTTCGCGATAAGATGTTGTAAGCCGTCTTATTACACCTAACCTGATTATAAGCGAATTTGACGTCTATATTGCAGGCTCCCTATTTTTGCAAACTCCCAAATGGTATCAGCAGAGCCCCTCCCTGCAAAGGTCGGGGTGCTCTACAAGGCAGCTGGGAGGGCGCCCGAGAGTTGTCCTGAGACCTAAACCCTAAACCCTAAACCCTAAGCCCTAAACCCTAAACCCCAAACCCTAAACCCTAAACCCTAAACCCTAAAAACCCTAAAAACCCTAAAAACTTTAAAAACCCTAAACCCTAAAAACCCTAAACCCTGAACCCTGAACCCTGAACCCTGAACCCTGAACCCTAAACCCTAAACCCTAAACCCTAAGCCCTAAACCCTAAACCCTAAACCCTAAAAACCCTAAAAACCCTAAACCCTAAAAACCCTAAACCCTAAACCCTGAACCCTGAACCCTAAACCCTAAACCCTAAGCCCTAAACCCTAAACCCTAAACCCTAAACCCTGAACCCTTAGAGAGCCGCAGGATCCGCCGGTTAGGCCAGGAGTTCCAGTTTGATGATGGCAACAATCTGGGCTTTGGGGGACCTATGATAAACTCTACTAAACCCTTTTGCAAATGCCTCAGAGAGATGTAGGGGGGGAGGTTCTTTCACACCAGTCTCCAAAGGCACCTTTCCAATCTGCCACGAGATCGCGAACTAGAACAGGGGAAAGCCACAAGCATTGGTGGTGGTCTGAACAGCTCTGTGCCAACTGCCGACCCAAGTTGTTTTTGCACATTGTCAGGCATCGCAAGCTGCCACTGGTGGGTTCAAGTACTCCACCCTGTCTGCAATCTGCATGGTGCCTTAGCTCAATGAATCTCAGGGTCTGGTCTGAGAATATGAGCCGAAGACCCCAGGAGCCCTGACATCTTACCACAGTGCAATGCCTTCTCCAGTGCTTCGTCATGAGCTTTTGTGTGACGCTACACTTGCTGTGAGATCTTTCGCCCCAAAGCCCTTGGCTTCCTAGCGGTTGAGGATATAGGGTTTAGGGGTTTAGGGGTTTAGGGTTTAGGGTTTAGGGTTTAGGGTTTAGGGTTTAGGGTTTAGGTTGTAAAGGCCGCAAAGCAGCAGGCGTGTTCCTGGAATAGCCCCAGAGACACTTCGGTAGTTTTAGGCCCAACCCTTCAGATCCAAAGCTCGGTGGCCTCAACATAGGTCAACACGGCTCAGCTAGGGACGCCGATTTGGCATCAGTACGACGAGTCACACAACCGCTCAGAGCGTTCTCAATCTACTAGTTCTATTATCTCACAAGTGTGTCGGCCATCTCAACCCCTTTGACTCCTGACGGAGACACCTTCTGCATTTTTAGATGTTAGGGTTATGTTCGGATGCAGCAAAGGCCGAGTTTGCGAAGATGGTGGCTCCGGCTGCAGGGTACATTTCATGTGCTGTTTAGAATCCTAGTCTAGCCCCCAGCCTTAGTCGCATCCTCGACGCACCAGACGGTCTGTAGCTTGGGTATCGTTTATTCCGTTTCATCCTGCAGAAGGAAACAACTAAACTTGCCCGTGCCGGTTTAGGGTTTCGGGTTTAGGGTTTATGGGCTTGTCGGAGCCTGTGCCAGTATCAACTCTGAACTGTTGGCGTTTCGGTAAAGCACTGCGACGCAAGAACATTCCCGGTCTGTTTGTGTCGCTGCCCGAACTTGGACGAATTCTCGGCATGTCCCACCCGCCTCTGACTTTCCGTTTAGAACGTGAGGAGCAAAGGAGTTCGGAAGGGAATGTTGGCTTCTTGCAACAGCAAACCAGGAGAGAAAGTAAGAAGAGAGTTTTGTGTAAAGTACAACGAGAGTTTTGCGTGCAAGTTCTCTGAATCTTTGCCTTGGTCTCAGCACCCCCCCCCCCCCCAACCAAACGAATTGTGTTTTGACTCGGGCTTTGCGAGCGTGGCGCAGCGCGGTGGTCGAGGCTACAGTCTTGAGCTTTCATCTGTTTGCCCAGGCGGCCCGAATGGCTAGCCTCGCACCCCTGACCCCTAAGTCAACCTCGAAAGCTTCCTGAGCCCTAGCAATTTCTGGCTCAAACTCTGAAAACCTGCTCTCGGGTTGCCCATCCTTGTCCAGCGAGGTCATGAGCTGCAGCTTTCATTTCTTTGCTCGGAGCCCGGCTGCTGATGTCTTGAGGGTTTAGGGTTTAGGGTTTAGGGTTTAGGGTTTACAGGGTTCGGATGGTAATCTCTAAATCGCTCCGGTGGGCGTCATTGAAGTACAACATGAACAACCCAGGTCTTGAAACCGAGGATACCCCATGTAAGGATGCTCTTGGGCTCTTCAGGACTCCAGGGGCCAATGAATATTGACGGTTTGCAGATGGGAGACCTTCGGCATGAAAAATGGCTTCGTCCTTTCAGCCGGAGGGTTAGGGTTCTGGGGGTTTAGGGTTTAGGGTTTAGGGTTTAGGGTTTAGGGTTTAGGGTTTAGGGTTTAGGGTTTAGGGTTGCGGGTTAGACATTTCAAGACGCACAAAACACACGAAGCCACCGACATGGAATACAGCCGAGCTGCTGACGTGGAAGAAACTTGGCTTGACGATGCGCACAGACATGGAGTCGCCGACATCTGGAAAACATGCCAGCCGCTATTCTACGGTTGCCGTGGTGCTCAGCCTTCTGCCCTGGACACGAAACCCCTTCAAAAGGAGAGGTCGGGGGACACAAGCGCTGGGGACTCCGCAGTCTTCCGGCATGGCAGATGCACAATGCAGACAAAGCATGGTTTAGGGTTTAGGGTTTAGGGTTTATCTCCGGAAGTTTTGCTGGCCAGCCTTGCCGAAAGAAAAAAATAGTCCCAATCTTTTCCGGCGCGGGAGCGAATCTGGTAAACTGTCCTAAGCCTTGGGGTCCCTTCAAAAGATTGAGCTTGTTTAAGTTGTTCAAGTCAGTTCTGCATGTTGGCAGCCCGGGACAGTAGCACCTTCCTCGAAGGTTTTTGGCCCTCTCGCCCAGGACGCAAAGTCCAATCGCTCTCTCCTCACGGCCTTCAAGACAGCAAAGGACCGCTCGGGTGTGAGAAGTTGAGACAAGTTTGGCAGTTTGGCAGTCTGTTGTCCCCAGGTGTGAATTTGGGTACCCTTTGTATCCCGAATAGAATAGAACCCATTTCAAGGGACCACCCCTTGTTCGGAAACCCTCCCCCATTTCGGAGGTGCACAGACTCACCGGTGATGTGTCTGAGCTAAGCTTGGCAGGAGCAGCTCAGCCTACACGCTTTGCTCCACATCTACATACTGTCATTCTTGTGCCCTGGACAGCAGCTGGCTGATGTCACAGATTCTGCTATGGCTTCGAGTGCTATGTTTGAAAGGGCTTGTTCGCGCAGTCCTATGTAGGAGCCACCATCCATGAGACCAAGACGCAGCCTCCGTGCCCTTCGTCGGTTGAGGACCAGAACGCCGTAACCTGCAGAACAGTCGCAGAACGTTATGTCGCCATCTTCCGCCCCCTCAAGAGACTCAAGCTTCCCTCAGCTCTTGGCTTTCTGGTGTGGCCACTCCCGGCACTTTTCTTGTGCCGAGCCCAGTTCGAACAAATTCCCAAGAGCTCGTGGGCCTCGCCGTCTGCCTCTTAGGACTTCCTAAGCCCAACCCTGCAGCCGACCAGCGATCCCAGTGCCACAATCCTAAAAGCAAGGGATACAACATGAAACGACAACAGACGCTCGGAGGGAGGAGAGGGAATCAGGAGCCCCAAGCCCTTAGTGTACAGCAAGCACGGGATCTTCAATCTAAAGAACCTCTCCGACACCGTGCTGACCGGAACGAAGTGTGTGGGTTGGCTTCTGGGAGTCAATTGGCTCACAGCAAGATGGCACGCTGTTGGTACAGCTGGGACGTGAACGTCACAAAAGCACTGAGGCGGGTGTGGAAGTGAGAAGGACTGATGACTCGGGCTGCCTCGACCCGATCCTTGCACACTACTACTTACACCAAGGTCTCTTAGGTTACAGCCGGAACATCACATCTTTGACCGGAACATCACATCTTTGAATGCGGGTGTAGTATCTTGTAGATAGCCCGACAGCGTCCTAAAAGCCCGTACGGCGACTTTTCGCCTGGAGACCTCTTGGGGAGTTTCAGAAGAACCACAAAGCTCTTCGAAACCTGCACCGATCAGTTCGGAGCTGTGTAGCATCGCCCAGGTATACCGTGAACAACCAGCTGTCATTCTACATCTACACGCTCCTCGGGAGAGGACATATTAGACAAATGGGTTTATGAAAATAGAGGACCCCCCCAAAAAAGACCCCAAATAGTAGGATTTCCTTATGGTAGTGACCCCAATACGGTACCCCCAATTTCGGAAACCCCCGCATTGTAGAGATATTGGTACGGGACAAACTCAGGACAGGCAAACGGCTTCGGACCGGTGACTAACTAGGGTTCCAGGGGTCAAAAGATCCTTTTTGGAAAGGTTTGTGGATTCTGCCAATAGTCTGTGGGCTTTAGAGCTCAACTGCTAGCTCCACTTCTCCTGAGACTCCCTAAGCCCTAAACCTTAAACCCTAAACCCTAAACCCTCAACTTTGAACCGTAAACCCTAAACCCTAAACCCCAAACCCCAAACCCCAAACCCCAAACCCCAAACCCTAAACCCTAAACCCTAAACCCTAAACCCTAAACCTTAAACAGGTTGGTAGATCCTGGCACTGTATTCCTCTTCAAGTCTGCCTCCACCATGATCGTGGCCGCCGTGCAGTGCACCTTTGCCGGCAAGGCCGCCCGGCTGTCAAGGTAGCAAAGGGAGGTTGTTTAGGGTTTAGGGTTTAGGGTTTAGGGTTTAGGGTTTAGGGTTTAGGGTTTAGGGTTTAGGGGTGGAGTGCTTGATGCAACTGAGCTAAATTCCAGTGCCTTTCCGGTCGATTCTTGCTTTTGAGGTGGAGGGACGAGGGGGAGGGATTTCCACTGATGTCTGTAGTGGCGCAGCCATATTGGTGGCAAGACGCTAAGACGCAAGGACGCGAATTTCTGCACGAAGACGCGAAGAAACAGTTCACTGAGCGCTACACGCAGTTTGTGCCTCCCTGTGCCCAAACCCCAAACCTTTACAAGCGTTTAGAAACCCACGACAGGCCCTGAAAGTGGCGAAAGTGGCGACAGCCTTGAAAGGGGAGAAGCGCCTTGAAACTTGAGTCGTCGCGAAAGCCTTCGGCGGGGAATTTGTGTCTTTTGCGGATCCGGCGCATGACGAGACCACCTGGGGTGCCACCAAAACCCAGGGCGAAAAACGTCTTGACGGGGTCAACGGCGTCACCCAACTCCACGGCTTTCATGGCAATGAGCGGCTTTTCCAACATCGACTTCATGGCAGGGATGTAGGGTTTAGGGATGTAGGGTTTAGGGTTAGGGTTTAGGGTTTAGGGTTTAGGGTTTAGGGTTTAGGGTTTAGGGTTTAGGGTTTAGGGTTTAGGGGTTTGGGTTTAGGGTTTTGGGTTTAGGGTTTAGGGTTTAGGGTTTAGGGTTTAGGGTTTAGGGTTTAGGGTTTAGGGTTTAGGGTTTAGGGTTTAGGGTTTAGGGTTTAGGGTTTAGGGTTTAGGGTTTGGGTTGGGGAGTTTTAGGTTTGCAGTTCGACTTGATACTTTAGGACTTGATTCGGCGACTTGATCATTTAGTTAGTTCTGGGAGCTGGGAATCCAAAAGGAAGTTTCAAGCCATTGCCGTCATTGCCCCTTTGAAAGAAGATCCTTTGGACGCCGGTGGTTTTGCCTTTCTTGAGGTGTCGGCAGCGTTTCAAATCAAAGAAGTGCAGCTTGAGCTGTGTTCAGGCTCTACGAGCGTGAAAAGCCTGCAAAAAAAACAGAGATTCGGACTCTTCCGAATCTACAGTTTGTACTAGGCTGGGATTGGGCAGCAGTCGGGCAGATGAAAGCTAGCAAATGTCCGCTTGATTTCCGTAGTCGTCCTCCTCCTACTCCTCCACATCCTCGGCCCACGTCCTCCTCGTCGTCCTCGTCGTCCTCCTCGTCCTCGTCGTCCGCCTCGTCCTCCTCGTCCTCGTCATCTTGGTTGTCCTCGTCGTCCTCCTCGTCCTCCTCGTGCTCCTCGTCCTCCTCGGCCTCGTCATCGTCCTCCTCCTCCTCCTCCTCGTCCTCCTCGTCCTACTCGTCGTCCTCCTCCTCGTCGTCGTCGTCGTTTTGATAGGTCCTCTAAACCCTAGACCATCCTAAACCTAAAGCTCTCCGGCTTCAGCCCTGAATCCGGAGTCTGAAGGCTAAGCCACAAGGCGTAGAGGTCAGCACCCCAAAAGCCCAGCCACTTGTCCCCCTTAAAGCCATACCGACACAGCAGCTCTCCCGAAGCAGGCCTTCACCTGGGACCAGTGGAAAGCCATGATGCTGCAGGCCATGCTTGTAACATTTTTGTTCAGCTTCTAGGACCTGCGTGTTGACATCCGAACACCCCCGACTTCTAGTTGCCTAATTCTTGCAGAGACGGAAGCGGGAACTCCCATCCGCTGGATGCTTCAGGGGATAGGGACTAGGGGTCATGGCGTCAACGTGCCAGTCTGCTACCCCATTCTCCCAAATACCCCAAAACTTCGGCGACCGTACTGCTGCCCTGCATACCTTAAATCTGTTCATGCCGGAAGCTGCCCATTTAGCACTGATTATGCGACATGTGCACATGATGCAAGCAAGCATCTTGCATCACCTTCTTCATTGCAACAAAGCTCGACGTTTGCATGATACATGCTGCCTGGAACCCTCTTAGTTCTTGATAGCTGCCTCTTGCAGTACCTTTCAGAACCCCTCCAGTTGTAGGCGCTTAAGTTCATGAGCAGCCCAGGCATGTCTGATAGAGTTCATGAGGAAGTCGCTCTATCTTACATTTCAGTTTGCGTCAACTAGGAATCCCAAGTTTCATAACGCTTGCACCTATGATGTTATGCATGCAAATACAGTCGACCGGTTGCGTGATCTTTAACGGACTTTGCCTGGATGACAATTTCAAAAAGGCCTCGGGGCAGGCTTTGGTTCTCTTGGAATTTGGAGCTTCGGGCCCGGTGTAGGTGCAAATGTCAAGAAAGCCAAGGACAGACTCGGTAGAACTTTAAGTTCAACACCCCGAAGAAGCACATAATCCCAAGCAAGTGAGGCATGCGGAATGATCGTGGTGCAGTATGACCCTTGCAAAGGTTCCGGCGTGTCCTCGGGCTTTAAGGACTAGGTGTTGACACATGCCCTAAGACTTCTACTGCTGCTTCCCTTGAGCCGGAAGCCCCCCAACTTTGATTTGGGGGCTTGCCAAAATAGACTCCCAAATAGTAGGATTCCCTTGTAACAAGGACCCCAATAAGGTACTCACCCCTACTTTCGTAGACCCCCATGTAGCTGAAGTAAGGTTTCAGCATGTGAGGCTTGAGCTTCGGGGTATGTGGGTTCGTTCTCCCCATCCTTTGTGCTTGCCATGGGCTTAGAGTCCATTCTATGGGGCAGAGGGGCGTATTTCGGTTCTCCACTCTGATCTGAAGAGGTTAGGCCTGTTTGCCTGGTCAGAGGGGAGAGGCCGTGCTGCGAACAAAGTTGAGATAGCCCTAAACCCTAAACCTTAAACCCTAAACCCTAAACCCTAAACCCTAAACCCTCAGCTTTGGATTTAGTGCATAAGGCCCAGGTCGTTCGTAGTCGCTGAGATCCGGTTTGAGAGGACTCTCCCTTCCGGAGAGCTCCTGCACCAATTAAGGGTATCAGGAGGGACCCTTAGAAGGGACCCTAAATCTTATTCCCCTATATAACCCCTATAATACACCTTATACATATATATATATATATAAATATATAAATAAATAAATAAAAAAAAATATATATATATATATATATATATATATAAATACCTAAGTAGCCCCTAAATAACTCCCAGATCACCCCTGAGGTCCCTTCTAAGGCTCCCTCCTTGAGTCCCCTGAACCCTAAACCCTAAACCCTAAACCAAACCCTAAACCCTAAACCCTAAACCCTAAACCCTAAACCCTAAACCCTAAACCCTAAACCCTAAACCCACACCCCTAAACCCTAAACCCTAAACCCTAAACCCTAAACCCTAAACCCTAAACCCTAAACCCTAAACCCTAAACCCTAAACCCTAAACCCTAAACCCTTGAACCAAGGTATACTCCAGCGGCCTACGCTTGCCTTTGCTTCAGCACGGCCATCACTGCCGTCTCTGCCGCGCGCAATGAGCCCCCAGCTCAGGTTTAGGGTTTAGGGTTTAGGGTTTAGGGTTTAGGGTTTAGGGTTTAGGGTTTAGGGTTTAGGGTTTAGGGTTTAGGGTTTAGGGTTTAGGGTTTAGGGTTTAGGGTTTAGGGTTTAGGGTTTAGGGTTTAGGGTTTATGGTTTAGGGTTTGGGGTTTAGTGTTGAGGGTTTAGGGTTGAGGGTTTAGGGTATGTCTTCGCAGCCTGGGTACGACAACAGGAATCTTACTTTTCCTCTTTAATGATAATGACAAAGCCAACAGGATGAAAGAGCACTAGCCCCCCCAAGACCCCAAGATACTCAAGACAAGCATTCAATTCGCGAGCGCCTTCCCCGGAACAATGCACTGCCTTCAACTGTCGAATTCCAAGGGCATCTGGCGAAATAATTGTAGCTGTGTTCCAGAATGTCAGGGTCCATCGAAGTAAGATTAAGCTGCGAGTTCTACCTTTCCTGAGAAGGAATACTTTTACTACAAGTTGCATTCCTTGCCATGGGGTCTGACTCGATCGCCAGCTACAACTCGGAGGTTCATGGTACTTATTAACCAATTTTCACTGTACGTATATCTGTACTCATAGCCATATTAGCGCACTTAAGGGGCTTATAAGTGGGATATAAGTACAGTTCTAATTGTTTTATAAGGCCATATTAGGGCACTTAAGGGGCTTATAAGTGGGTGATAAGTACCGTTATAAGTGGGTTAATAATTACCACGAACCTCCAAGAAACCCTGCAACCCTTCAGCCACCGTGGCCAAGGTATCTGGTGCGATGCTCAGACTCCACCCGGTCAAGGGTTTAGGGCTTAGGGTTTAGGGTTTAGGGTCTTGGGTTTTGGGTTCAGGCAGCCGTTGTGAACCCTGGGCGTTGGGCCCAAGAATTAGAGCCGAAGCCGAACACGTGTCAGTGTTCAGGGGCTGACAGGGAGGGTGCAGGTTTAGGGTTTAGGGTTTAGGGTTTAGGGTTTAGGGTTTAGGGTTTAGGGTTTAGGGTTTAGGGTTCGCTGTAATTGTATCCCGACTGCCGCTTTCTATCCTTCGGGGTTTAGTCGCAACGCTCTTCTTGAAAGCTGGGGAACCCTAAACCCTGAACCCTGAACCCTAAACCCTAAACCCTAAATCCTAAACCCTAAGCCCTAAACCCTAAACCCTAAATCCTAAATCCTAAACCCTAAATCCTAAACCCTAAGCCCTAAACCCTGGACCTCCAGGAATCGGCCAACATGAGCGAGAAGTCATGTCTAAGCTTAAACTCCAAGCCCCCTAGAGGATTGGAACCTAGCGCTCTAGGGTTAGGGTTTAGGGTTTAGGGTTTAGGGTTCAGGGTTCAGGGTTCAGGGTTTAGGGTTTAGGGTTTAGGGTTTAGGGTTTAGGGTTGCCCGAACGGCTAAAGTGTGGATGGAAGAACGGACCCTGCCCAACTCACCTGCCCTGCCGTTGAAGCTCAAATCGTGGAGCAAACAAGCAAGGCGCTCTTTTTTGGGCTTAGGTGTTGGTCATTGCGGCTTCGGGTACTAGATTGGGCTTCCAAGGAGTGCGGAAGTTGAATCGACCATGAAACGGCTTAAACATGAAGCCCTCACCGAACCCGTGAAACCGCATGGCGAGATGAGGCTTCGACTGTCATGAGGCCGAGCCCTAAACGCCCCGGAGCTCAAACTAAACCCCAAACCCTAAACCCCAAACCCTAAACCCTAAACCCTAAACCCTAAACCCTAAACCCTAAACCCTAAACCCTAAACCCTAAACCCTAAACCCTAAACCCTAAACCCTAAACCCTAAACCCCCAAGGTCAAAAACTTCAACATCGTCTTGAACGTCCAGAATGCAGTCCTGTACTCAGGCAGGTCTTGATCCTGAGCTCTTGCCACAAGTTTAGGGTGTTTGGGGGTTTAGGGTTTAGGGTTTGGGGTTTAGGGTTTAGGGTTTAGGGTTTCG